TGGCACAGTTCAGCTATGGGAAAAGTCCAAGAGTTAGGGACCTTAGGGCTGGGGAAAAGAACGCGGAACAGTCCATAATGGTTTTTTTACAATGAAATTTTAGACTTGATGATTTTTTTAAGGTTCATTTTATTTTTATTACAAAGTCAAATATACAGAGAGGAAAATCTTCTACCCGATGATTCACTCCCCAAGTGACTACAACGGCTGGTACTGCGCCGATCTGAAGCCTGGAGCTCGGAGCCTCTTCTGGGTCTCCCTGTGGGTGCAGGGTCCCAAGGCTTTGAGCCATCCTTGACTGTTTTCCCAGGCCACAAGCAGGGAGCTCAATGGGAAGCGAGGCTGCCAGAATTAGAACTGGCACTCGTATGGGATCCTGGTGTGTTCAGGGTGAGGACTTGACTGCTAGGCTACCATGCCAGACTCGATTTTTTTTTTTCTTGGCTGATGGCCAAATGAATTAACAGTAAGTGAGTACTTAGCACGTGAAGTTTAAGTACCTGACAACACCATAAAACATTGAATATTAACTGATATTATGCTTTGATGTTTGTGCTTTTTCACAAATGAACGTTAACGTCCAAATCTATAGATTAAAAAACCAAAACTTACAAATTCTTTTGTAGTTTCCTGACATTTATTTAGAATCTGCATCTTTGCCTAATCTCATCAGTACTTGGCCTGGAGTTTTTTCAAGTTAGCATAGGTGTACATGTAATTATTTACAACTGCATGTAATTATGGATATTAAAAACTTGAATTAGGTTATAATTTACACTCAATGCACCAGATTTTTAAGTGTTCAGTTCATTGAGTTTTAATACTTACATGTGAGACCAAAAGCAGACATCTAAACTATTCATTCACCCTAGAAGTAAAGTTGTTAAGATTCTGAAGATAAGGAACCAGAGTGACTGGCGATGTCCTCGGAAAGGAATTCTGCACCCTTGTTAGCCCTGAGCATTTCACAGGGGCGGGGGGCACTGCACCCCTGAGAGCGTGAATGTGATCAGCCCCGAGCGAGATGGGCATCGCTAGGATGCCTCCTCTCCCTCCGGGCAGCCTGCTACAACTGAGGCTGAGTAAAAGCCAGCTCTCATCTCTCTGCTTGGAAAGGGAGAACCCAGCATGTCCTTTTCACAGAGCGTGGCAGCTCCAGTGCTAAGGGCTTCCACACACAATCTCTCAGCAATGTTAAGTATAATTATAAAAACATCTGTAAATGCTTAACAGTTTCTGTTATGCATCACAGGGGCTTAAAAAACTTAGGTTAACATTAGGCAAAGGAAATATTCTTTATAAAAGAAACATATTATTCCTTATGAATGAATGTGAAAGCTCCAAAATTTCCCAAGTCCAGATTATTTAGGCTACCTGCTTTGTCATATAAATGAAATGTCTCTCTCCACCACTCCGTGCCTCCCCTCCCCACCCCCCAGCTTCCTGCTTCTACTTCCTTTCTCTGTAAAATTTCTCCTGGGCCCAGTGCAGTAGCCTAGAGAGTAAAGTTCTTTCCTTGCATAGGGGATACCATATAGGCACTGGTGCACCCATGTGGTAGACCCAGAAGGAGCTCCTGGCTCCTTGGCTTGGAATCAACTCAGCCCCGGCTGTTATGGCCACTTGTGGAGTGACCCAGAAGATGGAAGAGCTTTCTCTCTGTTTCTCCTTCTCTCTGAATATCTAACTTTACAATAAAAATAAACAAATCTTTTTTTTTAATGCTTATTTGGGAGCAGGAATTTGGCCTAGTATTTGGGGCCTCTGGCTTTCCTGCCCCGCCCTGGCTTCTTTCTGCCAGTGTAGACCCCGGAAGGCACTGTGTGTCTCCCTCTCCTACGTTTCCTCCCTCCCCTCTTCCTCCTCCTCTTCCTCTTACCTATCTCTGCTCTTTCAAATAAAAAAAAATACACATATTTTTTTAAAAAGTAAAAAATTGTGTCCACACTTTCTGTCTTTATTTGTACTCGGCCTCATCCCCAGGGACTTTGTACCAGCTGAGAATTCTTTCCGCTCACCCTACTTAACTTAAGCCATCTGGACAGTGAAGCTCTGGGAGGGGATTTTCTTGGTGCCACCGCCAGTTAGGCGCAGTGCTAGAACTTACACTGTCACCTCTCTGTTTCCCTATCGAAGAGCATGGCCATCATATCCCGTCTTGACCTCTACTCTCCAGCTCATTCCCTTTTTGTTTGTTTCTCTCCATTGTATTGAAGGCAAACATAAGCCGGGTGCCATAGTGCCATAGGAAGTAGGAAGGGCATAAATCTTGTGCTTGGAGTACTGACCATGTAGAAAGGTTTGAAACAAATGTTTGTCCAAATTATTTGGGTAAATTAGGGGGAAAAAATAAAACCAGAGCTATAAAAGCAATCATTGTATGGGTTGCTATAAGCCTGTGACTTGTTTTAAAGAATAACATTTATAGTGAGCTGTGAAAGAGAAAGAGCTGTAAATCTGAAGAAAAGGTTTGGTTGACCCACATGCAGACTAAGGTGAGTGGATCTTAGCTGAGAATCAGAAGCAAAGCCTACAGCTCTGCAAACTGGGGGAATCGGGTACCAGGTGGGGTAGGATGGGGGCTGAAGCCAGGCTGCTGAAAGCCTCCTTGCCTGTGTTGAACTTGATCCTAAAAGAATGAAGAACCCGTTGGTGGACTTTAAGCAGGAGTGGCAGTACAGTCAGGCTAATGTGTTAGTACAGTAACTGTTGAGGGAAGAGTGGAGCCTGGAGAGAGAATGTAAATGGAGAGACCAAAAAGAATATTGTTAAATTACTTTCAGAGGAAAGTAATGATGGTTTGCACATGGAGTAGGGCGGAAGGAAGTAGAAAGATTGCAGGTGTGTTTTAAAGGTAGAATCAACGAGACTGGATGGTCAAAGTGCAGCTGAGGGGTTGGAGGTTTCATTAGTTCCTGGTTGGACTGGCCAGGTATTATCGAGGTTGACTAGGGAGAACTGCCTATAATGTAGACTGAGGCTTCCAGCTCTGGTGTTGTAATCTCCTATGGGCACTGGTTTGAGTCCCAGCTGTTTGTTTTACTTCCAATCCAGCTCCCTGTTTATTGCCTAGGAAAGAAGCTCCTGGCTCCTGGCTTTATATTGGCTTACTCCCTGCATTGCAAACATTTTGGGAGTGAAAACAGTGTTTGGAAGATTTTTCTCCCTCTTTCTCTCTCTGTGAATGTGTCCCCTTTTCTCTGTAACTGCATTTCAAATAAAAACAAATAAGTTTTAGTCTGAGCGCATGGCTCAGTGGATAAATCCTCACCTTGGCATAGGCTTGGATCCCATATGGGCACTGGTACATGTCCCAGATACTCCACTTCCCATCTAGTCCCTGCTTGTGGCCTGGGAAAGCAATAGAGGACAGCCCAAAACCTTGGGACCCTGCATCCACTTGGGAGATCTGGAGAAGGCTCCTGGTTCCTGGCTTCCTATCAGCTCAGCTCCAGCCATTGCAACCACTTGGGGAGTGAACCAGTGGGTAGATCTTTCTCTCTGTCTCTTCTTCTCTCTAAAAATCTGCCTTTTCAATAAAATAAATAACTATTTTTTAAAAAAAGAATTGCCATTGGCACTGTCTGGGGACTGAATGAGATTTAAAAGCTCTCCTTTATTTATTTACTTTAATTAATTTGGAAGAAAAACAGAAATCTTGTCATCTGATAATCCACTCTCCAGATGCCCACAAGAGCCGGAGCTGAGCCAGAGCTGGGCCAAGCTAAACGCAGAAACTAGGAACTCGATCTGAGTCCATGGCAGGAACTGAAGTGCTGCCTCCCATCAACACTGCCTCCCAGGATGCTGCATCTGAAGCTGAGGCCAGACTCAAAACCAAGGACTCTGATAGGAAATGTGGCATCCTAAACACTGCACCAGTCATCTGACATGATTATAAGACATGCAGTGCTGACGAAAAGGAGACGTAGGACTGTAGCTCCTAAGCTCCAAATCAGATCTGGGCTGGACATGTATATTTATATATGCCTTGAACTTCATAATTTACCCAGTTTATGTAGTTGAACTCACTCTGTAGGAAAAGAATGGATGGAATATATGTATAAAGAACAAAAACAAAAACATTTCAAGTAAAGTTAATGGTGATTAAGATACCAAAGCAGAAATGGTAGGGACTGTTACTAAAATATGCAAAGTAAAGTGCAACTGTGTTTTGAATGTTCTCAGCAGTCAGCCAACACTCTTCAAGAAGCATTTTTGAGAATGTTCTGGGTTTAATTTGTGAAACGTAAAGCGCGGTTCACACAGAATTTGAAAAAATTATATCAGTTCTGCATTATGAGTGAATAGTGAAGGATAGTTGCTCTCTCCCGCAGTAGCACTGACTAACCCAAGCTAGTTGTGGGGTAGAAACAGGCCCAAGTCCTCATAGCTGTATTCCAGCTCTTGTGTGCAGTTCACTCTGAGGATGAATCTCCCCTGCTCCCTTAGGGGGAGGAGGAGCAGAATCACCCACCCCAGAGGGCATTCTCCGTCTGAAGCTCTGCTCTCCTCACCATCCTGCGTGTCCCATCATCCTTCAGTGGTACAACCAAGTTAGAAGCCAAGTGCAGAGGCTGGGAATCTTTCTAGTTCAAAGAAAACATGTAGAGGTTACACACACCTGTTTTTTGTTGTTGTTTCTTAAATGTATATGTTATAATGCAGAAACGGTTAGGATCCATTCCAGAATTATTCTCTGCAACACCTTAGTAAACCTAAGCAGGTATTGGATAACTCTTAGCATAATCATTCTTTCTCATTAATAACAGTATCTTAGTATTCCTTAAGTCATACATCTCTGTATTCGTTAGTTGTGCATGCTTGGGAGCTATTTACACATATATATTTATAGTCAATATGTGCATATTAAGTACATATACTGAAATCTGTGGCGCTGTGTATGCATTTCCAGCCGAGAATTAAGGACACATTTCTGATCTCTGCCAGGAACGTGGCCTTTGCTGGATACTGATTCTGCCTATCTTAACATTTTACAGAAATGAAGATGCAGTCAATCAAATGGCTGTTGCTCCATTTCCAGTTCCATCAAGTTCCTCATCATATACTGAGGTAAGATTGCCCATAATTCATTCTTACTAATTTTAGTGGATTGGTCATGATGATTTCCTCAAATCTAATATTTTTTGTTTTCTGTGTTTGGTATTCCAAACTCACTGAATTTTATCAACCAACAAATTTCTCTGAATAAAATGAAAACTGTTTCAGATAAAAATTACAAAGTGATGTACACCAGTAGTAAATAAGCATATCAATAAATAAATGTAATAAGCATTTATAAAAGAAATAAATGTAAACAAACATTACCTTTCTCAAAGTCAGCTAACCTGTCCTCCAGGTAAACAGTTATGTCTTAAATTGCACATTTCAGAATCTGCTGAGAATTCTTTTTGTATTATTAAATTGTGTTCCTTTTTTTATGATTTAAAAATGCCACTGATCATAGGTAATTTTAGATCATTATTTTTCTGTATTGACCAAGGTTACTGTATCAGTCTAGAGTGAAAAATGGATGAATAGGATAGCCAGATAATCAGGTTATCTCTGCAGCTGAGAAAATATTTTTTTTTTCGCATGGTTCATTAATTGAACTTTTGTGAAGATTTATTTTTATTAGAGAGGCAAATTTATAGAAAGAAGGAAAGACAGAGAAAAATCTTCCATCCATCAGTTCACTGCTTTCCCAGGCCACAAGCAGGGATCTGGAAGGGAAGTGGAGCAGCCAGGACACAAACTGGTCCCCTCATGGGATCCTGGCTCGTGCTGGGTGAAGACTTCAGCCACTAGGCCATCACTGTGTGTCCATTTGAATGATTTTTAATGTCAGGGGGAAAAAAGTCAGTTTTTACATTTCTTCATTAAGTAAACAATGTAGAGATATTCAGATGAAAAAAAACTTTTTGTTATATATCCGTGAGTGATAATACTTACTATTTAGTATCTGTGCACACTTTTTTTTCTTCTCAACAAGAAAAGATAAATATTTGGAGGGGGAATATTAGGCATGTTTTACAGGTTTATGTATTTTTATTTGAAAGGCAGATTTTCAGAGGAGAGACAGAAAAATCTGCCATCCTCTGGATAACAACGCTTGAACCAACTCTGAGCCATAGCATTCGCTTTAGTGATGTGCACTCCTTTTCTGGCTTTAAAATATTCATGATTATATTATCCCTTGTTTGTTGTGTGGTATCACCTAGGCTTCATGGACAAGAAGAAGCACCGTTACTAAGTGGCTTTTGGAAGCCTCTATTCCTTGTATTTTTCCTCATTGTCTCAGTTTTAAGGATGTGTACCATAAGGTACCATAAGCACTATGCTGAATTGAATGCTTCTGTAGGACCAAGCTTATTGTTTTCATGACCATGTAATCCCCATGGGCAGCACTTGGTACCTTCTGGATATATAGTCATTGAATAAATGAAGGGCAAGAACTGTATTTTGGATTTGCTTTAAAAAATATATATATATGTATATATATATATTGCTGGATCCAGGATTTCTTTTAGTTAGTTTGTTTGAAAGGCCAGTAACAGAGCTATTCCAGATTCAGATATTCACTGATTCATTCCTCAAATGCCTACAACAGATAAGGCTGTAGCAGGACAAAGTCAAAACAATGAAATTCCATTCATGTCCTTCCCGGAGGTGGCAGGGACTTAGGGAGCTGAGCCATCATCCGCTCCCTTGCAGGATGTATCGTCATGAAGCTGGATCAGAAACAGAATAGCTAGCGTTCAAATCAGGCACTACAATGTAGGATGCACATCTCAGTCATGGCTTAATCCTCTGCACCACAACATCCATCTCATATTTAGGCTTCTGTGTCATTACTGTACTGGCTTTATTGTATCCATGATGCTTTATTTCAGTACAGAATAATTGCTTGTTACTGATTCAGCTCCATCCTGCTGCTATTTGCCAAATCTGCTGTGTAAGGCATCCAAAGATTGATCACAAAATTGTCTCTATCCTCAAATGACTTGAAAAATAAGCCTAAATGCATATTACTAAGCTACAAGATTAAAATAAAGCCTTTAGAGGAGGGCAGAGAAGATGAGTTCTGTTTCCTTGAAGGGGGATAGGTATCTATGATGCATAGACTGGATCTTTAAATATGTATGCGGTTAGATAAGACTGAGAGGATGGCACAAATAGAAACAGAGAAGCGAAAAACATCAGTGTGAAATGGGATAAGACTATCCAAGTGTCATAAATGAAGTAGTAAGTAAAAAATAGGGCTTGAAAGTAGTGACGATCAAATGATCCGAGTCTTGAATTTAAATCTGAGAAGGTTTGGATTGCATGCTTCAGATGCTTGGAGTTGTGCTAGGCACTGTGCACAACGAAATGATCCTATCGAACGTCTACTCCGGAGTGTAGACTCATGGTAATGTGGAAGAAGCCTTGTAGAGAAAAACCCATTAAGAAGCCACTTCTGAGTTCTCACAAGAGGATACTTGTGTTCTTGGGTTGCAAGATGTTTATTCCATTCCTTGACAAGGCGTCCTGAATCTTTTGCTATGTCTTGATGCAGAAAAGACTTCTGTTTGCATGTGTGTGTTTAAAACACTAAGTGATGAAGCAGGCCTCGTACAGAATGGAGAGGCTGATTACATATGCAGTTGTATTTAGCATAATTTCCATTTTATTCTTAATTGTCCACTGCTTACTGGAATTCTAAGTAGCCTAATAAATATGCTCATGATTGGGGATAGAGGAAAGAAATTTAATTTGTCACATCTAGTAAACATGGCTTTTCAGAAAGAAATATTTGTAAATTTCAGCTGGTAATGAAGCTAATAAATCATTCAGTGGCTTTTTTGAAAAGAACATTTGGGTTTAGGAAATATGGGAATAGCAAAATTTAAACAAATGGAAATATTACTTTTAAAAGAAGTTTCAGCTGCGTTTAGGAGGTATGGTTGCCATTTTTTAAAAGTTATTTTCTGTGCTTGGTAACATCTTATATCAATTAAAAGGAAAGCAGTTGTATTGTGCTAATACTTCTTTGTCATGCTGAACGAGGAAGTGGAATGGTAAACAACACTTTCCTGATCACAAATATTTTTCTAACCCATGATGACATCCTAATAGATTTAGTTTTTGAGAGTCTGCTCAGACAGGATTCCTGTTGTCAGTATTCTCTCTGTCCAGTTAGAGGGAAGCAAATTGTGGTAGTGGGCATACAAAAATAAAGTGGCGCAAAGCTAGATAAGCCATCAGCACATAGGTTGGAACTTCTAAGGACTTAGGAATGATGAACCACAGAGGGAAGTGATTAACTTCTTTTAACCAGTCTTTTGGTAAAGCCTGTGTTAAAATTGTGATCACAATCCTTGCCTTTACCATCCATTCATCTGTAAAACCAACCTCAACTCTGAAGTCTACTCACTGTGGTCTTCATGGGCCAAGCACGTTCTCCATGCCCAGGCTTGGCTGCAGGCAGCTTTGGGCAGGTGGTTTGAAGGTCAGCTAGAGAGGAGGAGGACACCCAGCCATGCGGATCAGATGAATCATCTTGGGTGTCAACTGGCCACCATTCATCAGCCAGATGGTCCTCGGGCCACCCTGATTTACTGTCCTTAGAAATCATGCTGCTGACCTACTTTCCCCTTCGCACCTCTGACTGCTGTTTTCCAGGCTCCTGGTGAGGTGTTTGTTTGTTTGTTTGTTTGTTTGTTTGTTTTTATGTAGGCTCCTTTATTCCATGAGCTGTTCTGTTTTCCAAACAGAATTCACAGTGAAGTTTTAGCTCTTTCCGTCCCAACTTGGTTTTTGCCATCTAGATTTGAATTGGGAACTTTCCTCTCTGGAGTCATTTCCAACTACAAATAGAAGAAAATACTTTGAAGAGGAACATTGCACTTTTAAAATGCTCATGGACTTAAAAGAGAGACATTCTTCAGATGAATATAAAAATGAATTGGGCAGAAAAGAATGAAGCACAGGTGTGGCATTGGAGAATCTTTTGTTCTCATCAGGGAGATTCATTCCATACCTACATAATTAGGGCACAAAAGAATTAACTATAGGTGTCAGAAGAGGTTCAGTAAAAACAGTAGGTGAATTTACAGGAAGGAAAGATGCCTCCTAGCCAAGGAGAAGATAGTGATTGATGCGATAAGTAGCATTTGTGATCCAGCTATGAGTGGTGAGCTCTGCCTCATTGCTGCCTCTAGTTTTGAGGTGTAGGTTATAGATACACAGATGTTTTTGTTTTTATTCACATCCTAAAGGATATGCAGAGCATTTGGCTCCTCCTCTTCTTTGCCTATGTTTTCTTGTAGTTTCCTTATTGAAACATCAATACATAACTCTTTTCTCTCTCATTTTGTTAGTCAATTTATAACAACCAGAAAATTTCCATACTTTATACTCATATTGCTGAGAAATATGAAAATATGTTTATCCATTTAAGGAATAATTCCCTTCCCCCAAGAGATAAACATAATTATATGTGTGGTATTAGTTCTCCCATCCAGATGATAGCCTGCTCGTATCTGGGACCAGAGGTGATACGTTGGGTTTGTTCTAAAATCTAACACTGAGTTACCAACACCAAGTAGCCGAAAGATTCAGCTAGTTACCACTGCCTTCCGGAGACCTCTTCAGACGTCCCCACAGCTTCCATAACCAGACACATGAAATAACATATATGATGACTATATGTACTTTTTTTCTTTTCCAAAAGGAAGTTGAGCAGAACATGAATCTAAGGTGTTATGAAAAGGCAATGATCATGGAGAGGTAGCCAGTGGTCATTCTTCAAGCTCTCTCTTCCAGTCTGTTCTACAATCTGTCAAGAATGATACACGAGGGGCAGGCAATGTGGCACAAAATGGTTAAGCACCACTTCAATTGTACACATATCATATCATAATACCTACTACCTAGTCCCACCTCTGCTTCTAATCCAGCGTCCAGCTACCGTGCACCCTAACAGAGAGCAGATGATCACCACTCAGGTATTCTGGTTCTTCCCATGTGGGTACATGGGTGGCCTAGATGGAGTTCCAGGGTCCTGGCTTCACAGCCTGTCCACAGACCTCAGCATTTGAAGACTAAACTGGTGGGTGGAAGATAGTCAAAGTCTCCTTCGCTTTTGCCCTTTCTGTCTCTCTAAAAGTAAAAGAATAATATGTAAGTGTTCAACCTTGAAAAGAAAGGACATTCTCACACATGCCCAATGCAGATGGACCTTGATTGTACTAATTGAAATGAGATTGTGCTAAATGAAATAAGGCAATCACAAATAAAAAACTGATGTATGATGCTGCTTAGATGACATGCCTACAGTAGTCAGAGCCATAGAGGTAGAGTACACGGTGTTTGCTCAGGGCTGGGGGACGAGCTAATACGGAGTCATCCAGTGGATATAGATTTTCTTTTTTGCAAAATGAAAAGGGCTGTGGAGGTTGTTTGCAGGATGAGTGAATGTACTTGACATTACTAAACTATATACTTAAAAGGTACTTCAGATGAGGTTTCAGGTAATATGTGTTTTACCACATTTGAAAAAATTAAATTAACCAAAGATAGTCATGGTATTTAAAAGAGCAGTTCATCTGTTCAGAATTTTTCTCTCTCTCAAACTTACTGTCTAAAATGCTGAAAATATATGTGTTTTCAAGATTTACTTCTTGAGTATATTTTTTAATCTGTTTATTTGTTTGAAAGGCAGAGTGTCAGAGAAACAGCCAAAGCTAGGCAAAGCCAAAACCAGGAGCTTGGAACTCCTTCCAGGTCTCCTACACGGGTGGCAGGAACCCAAGTGCTTAAGTCATCGTCTGCTGCCTCCCAGGTGTCCTGGAAGCTAAGTCAGAAATGTGGAGTAGCTAGAACATACACCAGGCAGTCCAATATGGGCAGCGGGCATCCCTGCTGCATTACAACACCTACCTTACGTGTGTTAACATAACTTCTTTTTCTTTTAAAGATTTATTTATTTTCAATGGAAAGACGGATATACAGAGAGGAGAGACAGAGAGAAAGATCTTCCGTCCGATGATTTACTCCCCATGCGGCTGCAACAGCTGGAGCTGAGCCAGTCTGAAACCATAAGCCTCTTCCGGGTCTCCCACACAGGTGCAGGGTCCCAAAGCTTTGGGCCATCCTCGACTGCTTTCCCAGGCCATAAGCAGGGAGCTGGATGGGAAGTGGAGCTGCCAGGATTAGAACCGGCACCCATATGGGATCCCGGTGCGTTCAAGGCAAGGGCTTTAGCCGCTAGGCCATGATGCCAGGCCCCAGCATTCTGTTTTCAAGATGTACCTAACAGTTTCTTTTTTTTTTTTTTAAGATTTATTTTATTTTTATTACAAAGTCAGATACACAGAGAGAAGAAGAGATAGGGAGGAAGATCTTCGTCCGATGATTCACTACCCAAGTGAGTGCAACGGCCGGTGCTGTGCCGTTCCGAAGCCAAGATCCAGGAACTTCTTCCAGTTCTCCCACACGGGTGCAGGGTCCCAAAGCATTGGGTGGTCCTCGACTGCTTTCCCGGGCCACAAGCAGGGAGCTGGATGGGAAGTGAAGCTACCGGGATTAGAACCAGTGCTTATATGGAATCCGGGAGTGTTCAAGGCGAGGACTTTAGCCACTAGGCCACGCTGCTGGGTCCATATCTAACAGTTTCATTGGGAGTCCTTTTATTCGGGAATAGAGATGCATAGTTCAGCATATCTTCACTTCTTGGTATGCTAGCCTCCATTGTACAGTTCCTGTCAGTGAATATATGTATATATATGTTTGCCTGTATATTTATATATCTTGTATTTTCCATGAATGTCACCTTATATCAGAGAGAACATATGATATTTGTCCTTTGGGGATTGGCTTATTTCACTCAGCAATAATGGTCTCTAGATGGGACCATTGTGCTGTGAACAATAGAATTCTATTCTTTGAATAGCTGTGTGGTATTCCATGGAGTAGATATACCACAGTTTCTTTATCCATTCGTTTTTCAGTGAGCATCTGGGTTGTTTCCATGTCTTTGCTATTGTAGGTTGTGCTGCCATAAATATAGGATTACAGATTCCTTTCTCATATGCAGATTTTATTTCTTTTGGATATATTCCCAGAAATGAGATAACTGGATCATATGGTAGATCAATTTTGTGAGTGCTGCCTTCCATTAAATCAGTTATTAATTCTCATTTCTGAAAGGAAAGAATTAGAAATGGAACTTAGTCCTACCAGATGCCTCACTGAAATATTAAATGCGTATTTTTAGAACTCTATAGGAAAAAAATATCATGGGCAAATAGTGCACTCACTCATTGATTTAACTGGTTTGTCATATAGGTTCTGTATGCTGAGTGCTTGACTTCAGAAATAAACCAACTGTGCATGGTTCTCTCATTTCAAGCAGTTTAGTCTTGTGCTGAAAAGAAACTATTTCCGTGAGAAATCTCTGGCTGAAGAAAGCAAACCGGTGAACTCAGGGTGGCTGAGGCAGGAATGGAATTTGTTAACTCTTGTCACAGGTGGCTCAGGATGAGGCTGAGCTGCAGGAACCAGTTCTTCCCATCTCTGGCTTTGTGCTGTGGTTCATATGGCAGCTGCACCTTGTGGCTAGTTCCCTTTCATTATGGGGTGACTGCATGTGGGAGGTGTGGGATCTGCCTGTGGCCCTTTCTTTCTTTCTTTTTTTTTTTTAAATTTATTTATATTTATTTTTATTACAAAGTCAGATATATGGAGAGGAGAGACAGAGAGGAAGATCTTCCATCCAATGATTCACTCCCCAAGTGAGCGCAACAGCCAGTACTGCGCCAATCTGAAGCCAGGAACCAGGAACTTCTTCCGGGTCTCCCACACGGGTGCAGGGTCCCAAAGCTTTGGGCCGTCCTCAACTGCCTTCCCAGGCCACAAGCAGGGAGCTGGATGGGAAGTGGAGGTGCCGGGATTAGAACCGGCACCCATATGGGATCCTGACGCGCCCAAGGCGAGGACTTTAGCCACTAGGCCACGCCGCCAGGCCCTGAGGCCCTTTCTTTTTAATTTTTGTTTGGAGGGATATTTTACAGGGAGAGGAAGAGAGACAGAGAGAGGGACCTTTCATCCACTGGTTTACTTCCCAATATGCCTCACTGACCAGAGTTGAGCCAATCTGAAGCCAGAACCCAAGAGCTGCTTTCATGTCTCTCACATGGGTGCAGAGTTTAAATATCTTGGGCCATCTTCCACTGCTTTCCCAGGCGTTATGCAGGGAGCTGAATGGGAAGTGGAACATCTAAGATTAAAACCAGTGCCAGTTTGGGATGCTGACAGGGCAGAAGATAAGGCTACTATGCCACTCTGCTGGCCTGTGGTCCTGTTTTGAGATTGAGGATGGCTTCTGCACATAGCTCGAGCAAGCCTCTCTGGATGCCACAGTGGCCAGAACTCATCTCTGGCAGAGTCCTTTCTCTGAGGCATGGCCTGTGAGCAACAGGGATAGACACCTGGAAGCAGGACCAGGTAAGACAAGTGACCTTCTGCTGGGAAGTGATGAGTAGGGGTGATTTCCTCAGGGAGTCGCCGCCCCGCAGCACTGAGACAGCAGAAGCAGCATGTACATGCCGTTGGGGTCGGAGTTCAGTGTGACATCTTTGCCATCTCCTTTTTAATGTTCCTTAGGATCAGAGTGGTCCAGAGCCTGGGAGTGATGAAGAAGGTGATGGTCTCGAAGTTGACGTTAAACCATTGCCTACAAGTGAAAGCCCAAACCTGGTGAGTGTTTTCATCCTGCTTTCTTCTTAGCATTGGATTATTTCTGTTTTATGCCACACATGCTGTGTGTGCCTCTGAAGGACAGGAGGAGCTGCCCCACGCTGTGAGTACCCTGCCTTCTCCCTACTTGTGTGCTGCTGTCTGGAACTAAACGCAGCAATAGCTCCTCTAAATCCAGTTTCATGCTGGGTCCCCCACAGACCCAGCATGAAACTGGATTTAGAGGAGCTGTGCCCTGTTAATCCAGAAGGCACAGCAAGAGGTGTGAAGTCTGTTGGCTGTTCATGGCATGCCCTGCTCCCATTCCCCCAGGAGCTGGGGCATTGAGAGAAGCCATGTTAGAGGAGCCTGCCTCCTTCATGTGCTCTAGCATTTGTTCTTTTTTTATTTCTTAGTTTCTGAGTATTTTCTATGTACCATGCACTGGGCTGTGGTCCCTGTTCATTTGCAACTCTATTTGATACAGAAGCTGATATCTTGACTTTGCAAGTGAGGAAACAGAGTTAGAGAAGTGAATATTTTGTCAAAGGACCCCAGCTTGTGTGGGCTGGACCATAATAACAGTGATTCCCACTCTGTGTAACTCATGATCTGCTCCGCCATAAGCCTAGAAAGAAATGTGAGCCTCCGTGTTTCAAAATCTCTTAGAAATCTCAAAGAATCAATCACTTAGGAATGTGACTATAATTTTATGACAACCAACTTGTTTATTTCGCTTTGGGGAGCTTAAGACATCATCCATTTGTCTCCTTTCAATTTTTAGAAAGAAGTCTATTGGGACTAGCATAGACTTCATGCCCTAGAAAGTGGACTGATTATTCGAGGCTGAAAGGAAAAGCCATTTCTGGCAAGAGTGATTTTTAATGAGCTGCTTATGAGCAAACTCTACATGGCACTTCAGTCTCACTGACATCAAGGATAGGGGGTGTAATCCCCATTGTTGAACAGGTGTAGCAAAGTCACAGTGTTGTCTTGTGAAGGATAGACTGCAAAGTAACATCAACATGTTTCAAACTGAGATCCTCTCATTTAAAAATACTGCTGACTCGGTTTCCATTTTGCTTTTAGCATTATATCTCCATAGATAGGTTAGGGAAAAGGCTTTTGAAGAAACAGCATTTTGTAAGGAGGAACCCCCAGGCTCGCCCACAGAGGAAATGATGAATAGCATGTGAGAGATCTCGCTTGCGTGGGTTCTCAGTCTGGTTTTCCTGCAGGCCACAGGAAAAAACCAGCATCATCCACCACCCCAAACTGCAAATAATCTGGGTTCTAAGCAGCAAGCTTGAAGAGCTCCTCCCATGGGCGGAGCCCAAGGCCGAGGGATCCTTTATGGAATTACACCAATCCTTAGTTTCTCTAAGAGTAAAAGGCTCTCCCAAGCCAACTGCTGGTGTCTCTCTCCCTTTACCCTTCCCTGTTCCATCTTCTTCTCCTTTGAATATCTGAAAATTTTTTTGTGGCATCTAGGCATGGTCTGAGAATGGAAAAAAATAGGCTGTGTTGTGGCAACTTTTCCAGCATTAAAAGAGATGGCCTGGCATGGAAAAGTGGTTAAGAGTGTGGTCCTAGGCAAGCCTCAGCTTCCTCCTCTGAGGAACGACAGTGATGAGAACGCTGCTGGGGGAGTGAGCTGGGGAGTATAACTCACACAGAGGGGCATGCAGCGGGGAGCTGCTGCTTAGTGTGTCTGTGCTTGGTCGGTAACCTAGTCCCACTGTGTTCCAGGTACTGAACATACAGCAGCGAATAGTGCTTCAAAAGCACTTCCCTCATGGGAACTCCTTCCAGGATGGGAGGGGGAGGGGAGACCATATAGATTAGAAAGTACTAGATTGAGTCTTCTGAAATTGAGACTTTCACAGATAGAAATTTCATGTGACTCAAATCCTGTGGTCTTGTTGAAGCATTAATGCCCATCCCTCATCTCAGTCGTCAGTGGACTAAAAGCAGTACAGACACTCCCCGCCCCCGCCAGTGCTGCTGTACTATCTCGGCAGTGTCCCTACTCAGAGAGCAGTGTGTGACCTGGACAGACTTGGAACTGTTTTTGCCCTTTGTGTAGGGCCGGACGTGTGGGAAGGGTAATGTCTGATCCTTGCGTGGTGTCTTGCTTGCTTCCTTCGGGTGCAGATTGCCCATTGGGCACTGTGGACCCACAGAGATTGGCCAAGGAAAAACATGGCTGTGGCCCTTCAGCTCCCTCTGGCATCAACCTGAATATGAGTATCTGTGTCTAGAAAACATTTTATTGTAATATTCAGTACACAAATGAGGGGATTTACAGAATCATGTGGGCCTCCGATTAGATCGGAGGAAGTCAAAGTGGGAGGGTAAGAGGGTGGATGCAATAAATATTTCAGTTTTCCACCCTGCGGGGGAGAGGGAGGAAAAGAAAGGGCGTCACCTCATGCTGTCACACTGCATCAGCACCCAGGGACTGAGCTGGGCATTTGTTGTCGCCTTTGAAGCCCCCAGTGTGGGGAAGAATGTTCCAACAGTACTACTTGAGTAGCTTTGATTGTTTTGAGGATTTGTTGGCTTCAGATACCAGAGTCGAGAAATTCTTTCCCAGGCCTGTTGGCTGTCATTGTTTACCTCAGTGTGCCCACATACCTAAGTGCTTGTTGTAGAACCTAACCTGGAGTGTTGTTCAAACGGTCCATCTTTCCATCTTTTGAGGTGGTACTCCAAGACTTCTGTTGGCTTAGATGAGCTGGCTGTCTTGTAGTTTATATTCATCTGAGTATGCTCTCTATTCTTGGACACAGGTCAGCAACTGAGGTGACTCAGTCCTAAAATATGTGCTCCAGGGTCAGACCACATGTTCATGCAATTTTTCCTGAGATCAAGGATCAAACCCAGTGGCCTAGTTGGGAGCATCCTAAGAAACCTCACCTGCTACACCACAATGCCATCCCTTGGAGATTTGATCTATGCACAAATTGGAAATTTGATATGTTAATCATCCATTATATTATATTAATTATATTAATATGGATTGTGGAATAGCAGATGGGGACAGGCCTTTTAAAAAAGAAAGATTTATTCATTTTTATTAGAAAGTCAGGTTTACAGAGAGAAGGAGAGACAGAGAAAAGGATCTTCCATCTACTGGTTCACTCCTCAAGTGGCTGCAATGGCCAGAACTGAGCCAGGAGCAAAGCCAGGAGCCAGGAGCTTCTTTTGGGTTTCCCACACCAGATGCACAATCCCAAGGCCTTCCTCAACTGCTTTCAGGCTACAGGTGGGGAGCTATAAAGGGGAAGGGTAGTAAAGCAGCTGCAGTATAAACTGGTCGGTGCTCATATGGAATCCCTGCTCATGTAAGGTGAGGACTTTAGTCACTAGGCTACTGTGCTGGGCCCAGGACTGGTCTTTTGTAGAACAGTGAATGACAGGATTTTAACAGAGGAAATCACAGAAGAAATGTCTGTATGCTGTGTTTTCGGGACTGATCCTTTGTTGTTAGTGCGTGATGTTCAATGGTGTCTGGTGGTAGCTGGATTATTACAAGTAAGCACAAGGAGCTGTTTAAGAGAAACCTACACTCCAAAGATCTATTTAATCACCGTCCTAGGTTGCTGTTCTATTCAGGCTCAGTGCACTCCGAAGTGCTCTTCCCCTCCTCAGTGGTGCTGGACTTCGTTGCGTGTCTTTGTAGCCCTTGGACACACAGCTTGGAGTCTCTAACTTCAGAAGGCTTTCCACGTCTCTGAAATATTTTATGTGCAGACCAGATGATGGTTTGGGAAGCGTAAATTCCAGCCGTGAGAGATTCCAGGCAGGGAAGTGTCTGGGATCTATTTCAAAAGTCTAGGTGAGAGCCTGTTAAAACTGTTCTATCACACACTTGGAAAAAACTTTTTAAAAAATAGTACAGAGCTTTCCAATTTGAAAAAAAAAAAAAACAGATTTTCATCTGTTATTTCATTAGCTTGATTTTAACTTATTTTAAGTTAAACACCGGAGCCAGACAACTTGGACTCAAATCCTGATTCAATCTTTTAATGTTTCCAGAGTGGTTACTGAATTGTATTTTATGTAAATGTTAGTCTGCATAGCTACTGTTTCTATCCACAATTTTTAAAATCATTTTTAGTAAGTTTGGACAAAATAGTATTTCCATTAATAACTTTAACATAAAATTGATTTTTGAAAACTGCTTTATTTATATAGAGAACAAACTTCACTTCATATAACAGTTTTAACTCCATAGCAACACATCCATCCTCCCTCTATTATTTCTATCTTTCTTTCTTTGTTTGTTTTTCTTTTAATTTTATAATAACATACTTTTAATTTGCTTTGTAGTCAAGGCTTAACTTAAGAAAAATAACCTTAGGGAAATGGATTTATCTCTCCCTCCCTCTCTGTGACTCAGTTTTTGCATTGATAAACATATGTAAGAAACAAAAGTTCATTGTAAAACATCAGAGAGCTACTACGGACCCAAAAAGTATAATGTAATTACTGTTTAAAAGTAAGTTGTTTGGGGGCCCTGTGCCATGACTTAGCAACTAAAGTTCTCGCCTTGAATGTGCCGGGATCCCATACGGGCACTGGTCCTAATCCTGGCAGTCCCACTTCCCATCCAGCTCCCTGCTTTTGGCCTGGGAAAGCAGTCGAGGATGGCTCACTTTGGGATCCTGCACCTGCATGGGAGACCCAGAAGAGGCTCCTGGCTCCTGGCTTCAATTGATTCAGCTCTGGCTGTTGCAGGAGTGAATCAATGAATGGAAGACCTTGCTCTCTGTTTCTCCTCTTCTCTGTATATCTGTCTTTGCAATAAAAATAAATAAATTAAAAAAAAAAAAAGTAAGTTGTTTGGGCCAGCAGGTTATGTGGCAAGGTAATCCTTTGCCTGAAGTTCCGGCATTCTAAGTTGTTGCCAGTTCCTGTTCTGCCAGTGCTGTTCCACTTCTTATACAGCTGTGTGCCATGGCCTGCGAAAGCAGTGAAGGATGGCCAAGGCCTTGGGCCCCTACACCCAAGCGGGA